GCTGGTCAAGACCACAACCAAAGCAGAGCTTATTGTCCCTTCAGGTATCTCAAGAGGTGCAAGGAATACAAACTTGTACCTTTCCTCAAGATTACTGTCCTCTAGGGACTAAACTACCTTGTGGAAACACAAGTAGAAGATTTAAGAATACAATTAGAAGATCTAAGTAAAGAAACAAGTAGAAGATCTAAGTAAAGAAACCAACAGGATACTCTGAATTTGCATCTTAAACTTTTTTCCATGCCATGCTGTAGAAACACAATGGGAGCAGAATTGGCAAACACCATCCATATGCTTCACAAAATGACTGACGGAGCACAATGTGAACATTACTTCTGGACTGGATCAAGAGAATGCATTAAAAAAAATGCATAAGTGGAATACAGATATACATTAACTCAATCTTCTCTTAATATGGAATTAAAAATTGTATACCTGTAATTACGGCTTACCTCCATTCCAAGCAGAGCTGCCACAGAACTGAACACAGGCCAGCTTTGTGCAGGAGTTCAAAGCCAGTGTGATGTTGCCTTATTTTCTTGCTAACATCATCTTTATCCTCTCTTGCCCTTCTTCTCAGTTAATAAGAGTTATGTACTGAAAGTGCTGAGATAAAGTAATGGTAAGGAGGATACTACAAAAGGTATTTGAAAAGCAGAAGTAATTTACTACATGTCTGCTTTGTTTTACTTCCTAAGCCTTCCTATTGTGAAAGGAAATTCATCTTTTCTGGCAGACTCCAGCCTTTTTAGGCCGGAGAGCTCCCCAGGAGCTTTCGAATGCAGGTAAATGGATGTGAGACTCAAGGAGTACAGTACAAGCAACATGGAATTAATGTTGAATTTTGCTTTGGCTGTCACATCTGACGTATAAGGAGAGTGCTGCATCCTTGGTTGCAAGAAGTATCTGGATGTAAAAACACAAGGCTGAGTCTTTGCTCATTGTTATAAGACTGAAATGCCACAAATGGAAAGGTAGTGCTGCTAGTGGGTGAAGCACACAGAATCTACAACCAGGTGGGTGAGGCATGTGGGATCTACACCCAGCAAAGTTTTCACATGAGACAGATGTCCGGGTGCTCGAAGCAGAGCATGTGAAAGCTCAGACGAAGGGCTGTGGATGGACAATAGGTGCAGCCTGTATCCTGCACACAGCAGGGACCCAAGAGTAGGCACAGGGGAAGCATCCACTGCCTAATCTAAATAGCACACAGAGTGGTTTTGTCCTCTTCTGTTCTCCTGCCAGTTTGCACATATGTTCTGAGTATACAGCCTGCCCTCCAAAGACCACTTACAGGGGCAATCACAGGGAAGCAAAGCAGGGAGAAAGTATCCAAAAAGGGAATTTGTTCAAGAGAAAAAAATGGAGACAGATGTAGAGCGACTAGTCACGGCTGGCGGTAAATAACCCTCTGCCTGGAGTGCTCTAAGAGGAGTTTACATATTCCATTTCATATTTCCTTTCTAGGAAGTCAAATCTTTGTTTTCCTGGCATTTGTTCTTTTTCCCTTCTGTATGGTCTGTAACTGTTTTCTCATTTTTCCTTTCTCTTCTATGTTTTGCTGTCTTTCAAGTGCATTTCTCCTATTTCCCCCTAATTTTCCTGCACTGTCCCAGGCAACATCCTTTACTACCACCCTCTCGCAGTCTCTGTGCCATGAGCACGCGGATGCTTCACACCTGCTCCTGTGTCTGAATCTCCCCTCTTTCTCATGTGCACACCTCAAAATTAAGCAAATGCAACACACAGACACAGAATATTCATCCTCTCGCTCCCATAAACCTGTCAAGGCATATAGGCCAAGAAGCTATCTCTGCATAAATCTAAATCTCCTGTGAGGAAGCAATCTACTCAGAGGCAATAAAGCCAAAGGATATATTATTATCTTTGGTGTGGATCCTACTGGGCTGGGAGGTTGGCTGCTGGCTCCTCTCTGAACTTTCCTTCCCAGCCAGAGCAGCCATCCCACAGACAAGTCTAAGCTTCCTTTTCTTGATCTGATTTCCTCCTCCTGTTGTTTGGCCAGTAACCCAAAGAACAGGGTTTAATTATGGAGTTTGGAAACCTGGCTTACACTACTCTGCCAGCACAGGTTAAAACTTCAGCCTGTCTTCTGAACCCGCTTCATTCTGCACTGCTGATACCTGTGTTATACCATGCAGCATAAAATGAATTGCATGGAAGAAATGCCAAGTCAAACAAAAAGATGGGCTTAGTCTTCAAACTTCTACTGTGAATTTCACTGAGAAAAAACCCAAACCACTGAAGCTCAGAGATTATTCCATGTTAAAACTGTGCCACCATTTTGATTGTAGATTAAATAAATGGCAAGGCCTTTTTCTGTAAATAAAGACATCAGAAAGGATAGATCTGAAACAGGTCCAGACTCCAAAGCTCCCTCTCAGAGAGGAATGTCGCGGCGAGCCACTGGGTAATAGGGAATGTTAACATCACTTGTACAGCTTTTAGAGGACCAATTTATTTTCTAGGCAGATGCCCCACTGAAGACTCATAAAACATTTTACACTTCTGGAGATGAAATACCTGTGTGAAACACAAAGGGTCACACGTTAGTATCAGACGCAGGTGTGATGTCTGTGCACAGACCACAGCAGGATGTGTCCCTTGGGGGAGACCTCATGCCAGTGACACACCACCGCTGCCCTGGCATGGAAGGACACTTCAGTACTGTTTTGTCCTTCACCACCGATGAGCTGTGGCTCTTCAGGTAATCTCTCTGTCAGCCGTGCTCTTGCAGTGACCCTGTTTTACAGAGAAGCTGAGGCAATGAATTCAGAGGACAGGCTGCTGGAAAGCCATGGCAGAAGCACTGGGGGGGGGCTGTGTGGATATAGCACAAGGGTGGCTTGGAAGTGCATCCCACATGGGCAGGATAAAGCTCTTTTTCTTCATAGCTGTGACAGTGATAGATGGCTTGGTGAATCTGAGCTATATCGAGTTGGTACCTGGCTAGAGTCCCTGATGCTGCAAGGTGATTGTCTGCCATTTTACAGGCAGGACTAAGCAGAATCTGGGATTTTTCTATAATAGTGAGGAAGGTCATCAGGAAGGAAGAACCTTCTCTCCTCTGACTTGTTCTTGCCTTTCTGAGCACCTCAGGAAGTTTGACATGGGTAGCTGCGCTTCTTCACAGTGGGCACCCAATGGAGCCAAGGTGGTGGAGGTGCTTCGGAGGTGTAAGGTTTTAGGCACTTCTCTTGCTTAGCTCAGCAGCTCAGTGCCACCATCTAGCCAGGACTTGGATGAGCCAGAGGTAATGACCACATGTGGGGAAAACCACCAGAGGTGACAGCAAAATTAATAGCCAACCTCTGGCTGTTGCACAAATGGAGAACATTTGTCATTAACAAAGAGTACCCCAAACTTTGGAGGGAGCTGTTCCCCCGTCTGACAATGATGTAGAAGCAGTGACCCACTCAGCTTTTAGCCATCTGTGCCTGCACAGGAGGTTGTGATCTCTCCCTTTCACTGTGCACTGAGCTTTGGTGTGTGTTTTTGCCGCTCCATGAGCAGACCGGTTTAGTACAAGGTGAAGCTCTGCCTTACATCATCTGGAGCCTGGAGCTGATGGAGGAAACAGCCTCTGGTGCCTACAGAGCAGGACACCTCACTGCAAACACCAGAGCCCTGGGGACGGCAGTGGCAAGGCAGTCACGGGGAGCCTGGCACTTGTCTGCCTGCAGGTCCACCCTCTCCTCCTGCCAAAGTGCCACATCTGCAGTCAATAAGGGCCCACAAGCTGGCTCCTCCTCATTAGAGCAGAGAGGGCAGCTGGCAGGGGATCCTCCAAGGGCTCCCAGGCACAGGAATCAGTCCCCTCCCAGTCTGGAATAGCCCAAATTTGGTGACTTTCTGGGCATGCTGTAAAGGACAGCTGTTTGACAGGGTCTCCAGAGAAAGCTGTGGGTATGTTTCCTACATGATGAAGGATATAGGTGGCTGGCCAAGTGCCCACAGAACTGATTTTGATGCTGTTCAGGTCGAATTTACTTTTCTGTGCTGTATAGTTCATTATACACAGTGCCCTGAACAAGCATGTGTTGTTTCCAAACAAACCAAACCCAAACTATTTTAAATCCAAACAAACAAGAAAGACAAAAAATACCTATTGCGAAAGATCTTTTGCATTTATAGAGGACCTTCTCAAACCCTGGGAGGCTGGAGATGAAGGCACTGCTTGCCTTCCTCTAACAAATAGGACTTCTGATATTTTCATTGGCAATAAATATTTGATTATTTAGCTGTAAGCAACACTGAGGCATTAACTTCACCTATGCATGTAGCACTGACCCAGAAAAAATATTTCCAATAGTATTAAACACCCAGATGATCTCAGGATAAGTGATCAATGGACAGTTAAGTATGTAACATAACAACCCAAAAAAATGATCAACAAGAAAGATCACACACAAAAATTAACTGAGAAGAGAGACCGAAGAGCTGCTTCCTCAACCTTCTGAAGTGTAGCACCCAGTGATATCTATTTTGATATGAAGCCTCCAATCACACTTCACAGTATTACAGATTAATAAAACAACTCCTTCTGTAAGTCTCTTAAAAGTCATTACTAAGTGAGCTCAAGTGTTGTATAATGCTTGAAAAGTCCTTCTACCTTATATAAGTTTTGGGATATTTATTTAAGCAGCATAATTGATGGGGCACAGCCCAGACAGGTACTGCTTTTTGCTAGAAAAAGCTACCCCACAACGGAATCTGGACATTTTGACAGAAAAAAGACCGCCTATCTTTTGCTGCATTATTTAAATACTTCAGATATTTGGCCAAAACACAGAAGTGACACACTACAGAAACATTCACAGCTGCAGGAGCAATAAAACCACTACCATATTTTCATTAGACTGACTGTTTCCCAGAAGTTACAAGATGTCTAGAACTGATCACCTGTCTACACAGAATTCTGATAACAAAACAGAGCAAGTGAAGATGAAGATCTCGGGCTCTGGAGAGCCGTGGCTTACCTGGCTCCACTTCATGCCATCCACTTGACTGGCTGCCGCTGCCTGGAGACCGCCCTTGGCTAGTATAGAACGGCTCCTCACCAGGACTGTCCATCTCATCCTCCACAGACTTGAGACGTTTTGTAGAGCTGAGAAAGCAAAAACACAGAATAAAGGCTATATCTGTATGGAAAAGGAACCGTGGTACTTCTGTTGGAGCATACCTTGCTAGCCCTGCTTGAGATTAACTTGGTTATGGAAGCTATAGAGGATTTAAGGCCCTGGGAAGGGGAAGGTGTGAATCCTGCAGAGACATCCTGCCCACCCAACCTCTCAGCATCCACTTTTTTTTTCTGATTTGCTTCCTATCCAATGACTAAACTCCACTGAGATACAAAACAACCTTTCAGTGTCCAGACTGAACCCCTAAACATGTGCTAGTTTAACTAGAAGATAGTTTGACATTTAAGCTTTTACAGCTCCAAAAGTAGGATATTTTCAAAGTACACAGAGGTCAATGAAAAGGCAATAATTTAATTTGCATTGTGTGTTTTTTGTAACTGGAATGAATACGGTGGTGACACACGAGACTTATTTTAACTGCCAGATTTTTTCACAGCTTATTCTGAAAGCAAACTGTTTATCAGTCCAAACTTCTATTTTCATTCTTTTGAATTAATCCACATTTCACATAAGAAGAAACACAGACAAGTGAATGATGGAAGAATCCATTTTTGGTTCAAACGTTCATGTTATCCTACAAGAATAAGCATTTGACTCTGCAGCTGAGTGCCAGCAAGCACAGAAAGCCTCCAATAGGTATCTCTGGCCAGTGTCAGCATTAAAGGATCCCCTGTGCTATATCACACCTCCCTTGCCAAAGGCTCAGGACACAGAAGAGCCCTTTCAGTGGTCTCTGGTGGCCACTGGCTCCGGCAGTTCCGCAGGGAGAGGATCCTGGAGCCAAAGACACTCAGCTTGGCTCTGTTTTCCATAATGAGTTGTACAGACTGCATGGGGACATTACTGAGAATTTCTCTTCTAAGTACTTTTCCAAGGCTGGATCAGTTCACTTTTTTTCCCTAAATCTGTATTCTATTAAGACTTAAGGCATTCAAGAACAGGCTCCTCTGTGTAGGGGGAACATATTTAACAGACATAAAATCTTCCACTGCAATTCCTATTGGTTTAGAACTTGCAGCCTCCCCACCTGAAGCTCTGCACAGGTAGGAGCTGGCGGGTTTGCAAAATCAGTTGGTGAGAAACAGGAAGAATAAGTCTTACGGTATGTGTGGAATGCAGGTTTGGCCATTCCTTAATTTAGAGAATTGTTATGTGTCAATAGGGGAAATTGTGTGCATACAATATAATTACTGCCTGATAATTCTGCTGAGTCTGTGTATTTAAAGAATTTTTTTTTTCTGACTGGGAACAGCCTAATGAGAGGAAAACAAACATATTACCAAGTTATTAACTACCCATGCTGTTTATAATTAGCTCCTTATCAGTGGTAGCTATTTGCAGAAGAATAGAGGAGCAACAACTGAGCTCTTAAGTAACATTAATAACCTCACTTTTGCTTCTGGAATCACCAGTAAATTCTACCTGAGAATGGTGCTAATGATGAGTGCTGTAGGCTACACAGTTTACAGGCAAAAAAGGAACAGCACCAAGTTTTTAATTGATGTGTAATGGGAATTGTAGTCACCAAGCTTCATAACATGCACACTAAGTGTAAGAAGTAGAATGTTCTTCCAATCACTGTAAACTGTAAGAAGTTATTGCTAAGAGCCTCTCGTTAAAGATTATTATTTTTTAAATAAAAACAACAGCTATATTCAAACTACTGAGATTTTTTACATGTGTACTTGCTTACTGCAAAGCTGGTTGCACTGCAGGCTGAGATAAAAATGTAAAAGAACATTGGGCTGGAGTTAGACTTTCTTGTCATGTCTTTGAAATAAGTAAGCTATTTTGGCTGTGGGGAAAAAAAATCAATCTGGTTCCTTAATAATGTTCAAGACTACTCGAGTGACTGGGCTTGTTTATAAATCTAATCTCATGGATGATTAAAGGGAAAGGTAAAAAATAAAAAACATCCTTGTTTGATAGTTGACATCTAACCCAAAATCAAAATCAGCCTGGGTAGTCATCTGCATTAACAATTCAGTTTTCCAAAGGCTGAGTCACAAATTTCTAAATGCTTTATGAAAACTAGAACACTTTATAGGCCAAGGTCCTAAAACGATGTTAGTCTCACAGGTAACACTTTTTGCAATAAAGAATACATGTAAGTCTATCTTAAGACTTTCCTCACATCTCAATATTCTCCAAATTCTCTTCTGCCACAACTGAAACGCAACAGTTCCAGTGAAACTTCTCCCGATACACATAGATACAAGCCAGAAGTTACACAAGCCAATGCAGCAGTTTTTCTTTGAGATTTCTACATGTAAATAGAACTTTACAGCAATGCAGGTGAACATTCGACTCTGTGAATCTGAAACAGCTCCACATCGTGAGGCCCCCAAACAGCTTGTCAAAGAATTTAATGGTTACTTTCCCAGATGAGTAATGATGCTGGCCTGGGTTTCCAAGGAACCTGGTAGTAGGCAGAGATTAAATTACCTGGTAGAGGATGTGCTAGGTAAAGACCTCCTCATTGCTCCTGGGCTCATGCTGTAGTATGAAGAACTTTCCAAATCTGAGAGGGAGAAATTAGGGCCTGTTCCTGCAGCTATCGGTGCTGGGGAAACAAAAGAGATTGCAGTCAGTAAGTCACGTGAATATGGTATAAATTGCACTTCAAAATCACTTTCTTCTTCCTCATGAGAGTGTTTAGTTTCATGGTAAGAACAGGTGGGACATGGAAATTAGGAAATGCTAATGGTAACTGCCGTTGCAATCAAGAAGACGGAAATTTTATCAAGAATACAATGTTCCATGACATACACTCTTCTTTGCATACCTCCAAAGCTACTTCTTTTTAATAAAAAAATTAAACAATTATGGCACTACTTTCTTTAAGCACTGCTTTTCTGTTAATATCAATCTAACATTTAATGAAACTTGTTGCTTTTAGGACAACATTGAATCTGTTGGCACGGTTACAGACAGGCTGCATCATCCCTGTCGTGGGCTTGGCAGGATCTATAAGCAGCATAGGCAGGGAAATACACACCTCAAGACCTTTGGGGTATACATGATGTACATCCACAAGCACAGAAGTTTCAAAATCATTTTAGAAACCCGAGTTCTTTTGTGCCTGAGAGCATCTGATTTTTCCTCTGGTCTCTTCTCCAGTTAAATCAGAACTAGAGACATATGACTCCCCAGAAGTTTTATCCAGCAGAGAGCTTCCAGTGTTCAACTCTCATCACCTTATCCTTCACTGAAGTTTTATTGTAAGGGATATGAATACCTGCAATTTCTCTGTCCTAGAGCTTTGGCTTTACATTAAACACAATGAATTCCTGCACACCCTGAAGTTTTCGGGCACAAGCCATGTGCAGTATTCTTGTGTGAACAGACAAGGAACAGAGCAGTTTAATGTTAAAGTCAACAGGGAATGGATTTCATGCAGAAATGCCACTATACAGCAAATGGTACCATGTCCACTGTTGCCGTTCCAGTGCGATTTACAGGACAATACATCTTTGGGAACTGACAATTACGGATCATGATTTTCTCTAATATTTCAGAGCCATCTGAAAAAGGATGTCCTGCACAATAAAATGAACAAGCTTGGCCTGGGCTGTATTGTCTGGGAGCCCTGATTCACAGCCACAAAGGCAAAGCAGTCTCACTGCCACACAAGGATGCTGAGCCAAGTTGAATCTTTGGTCTGAGAATCTGGCCCATTTTCAAACATGAAAAAATCTTTCAGTCTGATGGGGCAGGAGTGAGGAAATGAAGACAGGATAGCTCCTATCACCCAGCTAACATGTCTGGGCTGGGAGTGCTGCCATTGACTGTAGCAGGGCCAGTTTTTCACCCCAAGTCTTAAGGAGCTCACAATGTCAAATTTGACAGAGGAATAATGTAGCTTTGCAGCTGCCTCATCATCCCCACAAGACAATTAGTTGTTGTTTGGCAAGGATCTTTTAAGAACGTCATTGAGACAGAAAGGGAACAGCTTGGATAGCCACGGACTTTTAAAAGCATAGGGACGGAAAATACACAACACCATTAAAACTCGAGAAAATCTGGAATGATCATCAAAAGGAATTAAGTTGGGAAGTAATTTATGACGAGAACACTCAAATCCTTTGATATCTTCTCTTAACTATCATATGCTTCCTCCACACTGGGTATATGAGAGGGTGTGTTAACACAAAGAAAAATTAAGCACAGTAAAATTAACTCATTTTATCAATTTGTGCTTTCTGCAACAGTTTCCTGACAGCAGCTACAAGAGACTGTAAAACTGATGAATTTGCATGACAAAAGAAACCGGTGTAAGTAATTTGTGTAAAAGGTAACAGGGACATGGACTGCTATAATTCAGACACCCTGCAGATAGCAGGCTGCTGCAGTGTGTGCAGTTATGGGTTAGAAAAATGACCACACTGCAGTCAGTCTGACTTGAATGGAAATCAATCATAAAGGTACTCTCTGCAGCATCTACTCCACAGTTTTCAGCAACTTCTTTGCCAAACAGATCTGTGCTCTGCAAACCCTTTCCTGAGCAATTCCTCTGCACCCTCTAACTCCCAAAGCCAAACTTAGAGGTTAAGAATACTGTTTTCCAAACAGGAATATAAAAAGCCAAGTACTAAATTAAAGCACCGTTTCTTTCTGGGCATTGCTAGATTTATGAAACAGTTTTATTCCAAACACATATGAAAGAAAAACTGGTATGTGGGTAATGCTTTTCTTCTTTCTCTCCACCTGTGTTTATTGTCCTCTCTCCAAATCCTGGGTATTTCTTGAGTTGGCCCTATAGGAAAATGGAATGTGTGTCCAGAGCAGGGGTGGGGTAGGAACATTGTATTGTTAATGCTGTGTAAACTCAGTGCAAAGTAGAAAGGGTTGACCACACAGGGGTAGCAAACATGGAGGATGCTTTGTTGGTCACTGGCCAAAACACCCTGCCACACTCAAGAGCCAGTTTGCAACCAGAGGATTAAAAAACAAAACCCACCTCTAATATACACCAGCAGATGTTAAAGTACCTGACATGGCTGTGGAGGCCAAGACCTGAACCCCTTGGCAGTCCTTGCACAGGAGCCACCACCCTGCCACCACCAGCTCAAGGTCTCTGGCCACAGAAGTGCCATGGCAAAGGTTGCACAGGATTGAGCTGTTCCAAAATCCCTTCTCCTGCCTTACTGTCAGGGACAGACTCGGTGCAAAGGTTATTTGTACCTTTGTTCACAGTTCTCCTATATACTATCGTAAATCACCCATGTGCTGATGTGCAGAGCTACCCTGACATGTAGAGCCTACCCTGAGATCGTCAGGAAGGGGTTAATGATTTTCATCTGCATGGCAGAAGGTCGGGTCGAGTCTTTGACTCCTCTTCCCAGATGGAATTTGGTTGCAGCTCCCTGCCTGGCACCTGCCTGCATTACTCATCCCTGTGTTTTGCAGCGCAATGTGCCACAAGAGTGGGCATGGAGCAGCCAGCCCACCCAGGAGGCACCCAAGCCTGCTCCAAATGGCTTTTCACACTGCCTTTGGGGACTGCCCACCTCTCACAGGTCAGAAAGCTGATGAGAAGGGGCCACTTGCATTTATATGCAGGATTTCTAGGAAGAAATTCTTCCCTATGAGGGTGGTGAGGCCCTGGCACTGGTGGTGCAGAGAAGTTGTGACTGTCCCATCCCTGGAAGTGTCCGAGGCCAGGTTGGACAGGGTTTGGAGCAACTTGGGATAGTGGAAGGTGTCCCTGCCCATGGTAGGGGGTTGGAGCTAGATGAGCTGTAAGGTCCTTTCCAACTCAAACCATTCTAAGATTCTATGATTCCCAGCAAAGGCAGCAGCTCTGGAGCGTAAGCAAAGGGATCAAAGTGGTGCAAATTGTGTCAAAACTCTGTTGAAATTAAACCTTCTTATTGTAGCATCTGACAGTCCACCACACAACCTCCCTATCCCTGTCCCTGTGTCCCAGGAACATGCTCTGGCCCCACACGAAGCAGCAGCATGATCGGGAGCTGCGCTCCACCACAACAGGCTTTTCCATGCTGCAGCCTGCACAAACTCCAGGCAGCAACACTAAAAACACACCATTTCCCCCTGTAAGAAATGCAAAGTGACCTTCTGACAGATCAGGAACATCTCCCAAACAGGAAAGGTTGTCAGAAACTGCAGTTGTGAGTCAAAACAAAATTCTCCACCTCCATACTGGCATCAAGTTGCCACCTGACCCAGAGCTCTGAGCTGCAGGTGAGTGAGGGGAAAGGATCCCTCTTCCCCCAGCACGCAACCCACAGCTCCCATTTCAGCTGCTGGCATCACAAAAAATTCCCTGTGCAGATGGGACACGCTCGAAGGGGCAGGAGCAGGTAGTTTGTACAAAAGGAGGGGGAGGAGGAGGAGGAAGGTGGGTACCTCTGCCTGCACACTGTGCTACTCCCGGGATGCAGGACAGCATCTCCCTGCTGCCAGCCTGCTCCCTCCACTGCCAGTGTGTCAGCTCAGTTCCTCACCCCAAATGTCAAGAAAAATAAGAGAGAAATTAAGAAAAAGCCCTCTGACTTAACCTAATTTGAATATTTATTTTGAAAAATTTATTGAATTACAGAACAGGAAACCCACTAAATAAAACCAGCCAAGTTGGCATTTGTCTCCCTTGGAATACGGCACTTTCTTTTAGCCACCTTAATATTTAGTTTCTCCTTTTTTTTCCATTTTTATGTATTTATTTTTACAGAGGGGCTGGGATGTGACTAGGATCATTACATGTGTAACACTGCAGTGAAATGATAATGTGTTTAAGGTTAAATGGGAGAAACATGACATTTGACTAATAAACTTTTTCCTGTGTTGTGACTCCATAAACAAAGGGAAACACACTGTGCTGCTGCTGAGAGGAAAGGGGAGCTGGGTTTCTTTTTTTTTTCCCAAGGGCCTTTGTTTCCTCCACACTGTATCATTAGATTCAAAGAGGTCTTGCCGAATACAACAGATATGAAATGTGTGATGTTCATTTTAAAATTACAAGTACAGCCTGCTATTGACCGTCTAATTATGCTGAGTTCCATTTATAAACATAGCTAACCACTAAGTTTATAGAGACTTTTTGTGCTGCTTTAATAGGATATTGATCGAGAGCAAGGTTTGAGTGGACTGCCATTGAATTGTGTAATGGCATACAAAAGGCAAGGTCACGGCAACTGTTCACTCTATGCCTGCAGTCTATTTTTTATTATAATCTTTTTTTCTCCCTCTCATACCCAAGCCCACACAGTGAGTTTTGGATGGCAGTGCTTTGCTAAGGAATATAGAGTATCTTTTTAAATGTTAATTTTCATGCTGCTGACTTTAACTGCCTTCACTAGCGTAATGCTTAGTATAGCAGAAAACATACAGGCTGCTGTTCAGAGAGCTGGTTTATCACACCCAGCTCTCCCACATGTGCTCTGTGAGGAGGAGGAGGAGAACCTCTCCTCCTCTCCTGGGCTACAGGGAAGGCATCCACCTGCCTGGCCCAGACCCACAATAAGAGCCAGGCACCTCACATCTTGCCCCAGGCACCCAGGACATGCTGGGGTTCACAGGACTTTCCCTGCAGTTTGCTTCAGCTGCTGCTGGATGAGCAGCATGAGAAAGATGTGCTACCTCTGTCACACCCACACTCTGTGCCTGGAGCACGGGCAATCACTCTCATTCCCAGCTCTTGCCCTCACCGCAAGGACAGCTTCAGCCCCTTTCTCCACCCTGACAGCTGTCATGAACCAAGCCTGGCATTGCTGTGGCAAGATCCTGAGCTTTCCACAATGTCTTGGCCACAGAAGCACCTCTTAACCTGTGGAATTAGTGTAAGTGTTTCAGGGATAATTAGCTGGACCATCTCTGTGTTTACACAGGAGCAGTAAGCAATTGCAGGTACATTTGTGTGCTTGTGGTGCCACTGGCCCATTAGAAGGATTAAAAGTCACCCCACTTGCTCCTCACTGCACACAGCCAACACGTTAAACCTCAACGCGTGGCATTTTCAGTCCAGGGTGCAGTCAGAATTCCCTTGTTTATCAGCACGAAGAATGATGTCATTTTGACAAATAACACACCACCAAACAAATATGTTTGATTTGGCTCTAGCGAATGTTCATAAATCCTAAATCTTTCTTCACATCCTGGGCAGTGCAGTTTATCTGGCTGCTTGAAGGACCTCCAAGGGAGGAGATCTTCCCAGCAGCTCTCTCTGTACAAGAGCACGTGGTGCGGACTGAAAGCCAAGAGGGGAATGTGTTCCCCATGTCTTTCTCCCTGCTCTAGCCTGCCACGACCTCCCAGCTCCTGCCAAGAGAAGGGGACTGTACACTTGGCACCACAGCCACCCCTCTGCCAGCACTTTCTGCAGAGGGTCTTTTCCAGTGCCCTGAAGATAGCTGCCCACAGCCAGTGGAATATTTTCCTAACAAGGGGAGAAAAGGAGAAGGTTTCACTTGGCCAACAGCTGGCTGTCAGTTCCCAGACCCGTACATCTCCAACGCTTCTGCCTCTGAGCCTTTTGTTGCCAGCACAGACCTCTCCAGTGAGGGAAGAATGAAGTCTCTGTTATCTAGAGGGGTGTCCTCAGTATCTCGGGTGACAGACAACACTTAGAGCCGCGCTCACACCCTCTGCCTGCTAATAATGCAGGAGAGCTGACAGCATGATCTGCAACACCCACATCAGATGGGCTGGAGAGGAGTCTTTGTTTTTCAGATGCACATCTATTTTCTCTGTTTTACTGGGTTCTGCAAGGCTCAGCAGCTGGGCAGCATTTTGAAAGAAAATCTGCATCTATAGGACTGAAGAAAGCAAGTTTCTGTTACCAACACAGTCTAGACTTGTTCAATAGCGTACAGAAAGTGTGATGATCAGCACTGATAGGTAAGACAGATAACAGTAACAGCTGACCTTTCGCTTGATTAATTCATTCCCCAAATTTGCATGACGGAGACAACTGCCTCTTACTTGAGACTCCTTGTAATGTGGACCTCTGCAAACTTTACTAAATAAACCCAGCACGTAATTGCTACGAACAATATTTTGTAAGATTAATTTTACATAACAGTAGCCACAGGCCAGTTAAAACTGGGTGGAAATTATTTTATTATTTTATTAATAATATTTTAAGCATTATATTTTCAAAAGAAAGCTGGAAAAAAAAATGACAGTGGGTATATATGAAGATGACCTCTTTGGAAAGAAGATTGGTCTCAAATCAGGACACAGGAAGACGTAGACAACCCAACAAGGGTTATATTAACTTTAAAAGACCTTGTCTGCCAATTTAGGCAAATATGCAGCAATCACTTTGTTGCTCTGTTATGTTAAATAATTCTTTGAATATGAGCATGTGAATTCATTCTGAGTTTGCTGGGAATTTGCTGCTAGACTTGACACTAAACATATCCTACTGGGTAGCCAGGGCATGTCAGGCTGTGGGCTTCTCAGACCTCATAAAGTAAACAAGGTTACGGCTGGTCAGTACATGTCTGGGGCATCTCCAAGGAAAATCCAGGGTGCTATCAAAAGCAGTGTAGCTAAATCAGTTGCTGGCACTCTTCCCTCTGAGTCAGTTTTGAAGTGATATCCCAATATGCTTTGGGGACACTATTTTTGGTAGAGGTGCTGGCTTGTAGACAGGATATAAAACTGAGGTCTTGACCTCCCAGGATTATTAAAGAGCCCATGAAAAACAGTGCAAACCCCTGTGTCTGGAACAGATAAAAGCTGAATATCTTTATTTTCCCCCACTAACACCTTTTTTCTTATTTATGATAAAGTTTGTATTCTTTCTGCATGCAGGTGCCCCATCCTTGAAAGTGGTGCACTTCAACTGCAAACAGAGGGAACATTTCAGACACAGATCATAATTTGCAGAACATGCTGAGTGCTAGGATTTTGATACCCAGTGTTTTAGTTTAGTTACAATAAAGTATCAGGGAAAATTAATAAGCATGAAACATGATGCTCACGAGGTCAATGCCAAGCTCTGGGGGAGGCTGGGACTGGTGCTGGGGCTGGCTGGGAAGGCTCCAGCCCTGAGTGGGGCACTTTCCTAGCTAGAAAAAGTGCACACATGGAGCACGACTGACAGAGTCCAGAGGCAGCTCTGCTGTTCAGGGCTCCTACAGCGCAGATAAGATTGTGGTGAAGTGGGATGCCTTGCAGAGGGGGAGGGTGAATCCTTTGGGCTTCAAAAGCCTTGTGCTGTCACACCGAAATAAAGTGACATAACACGGAGATGTTCAAAGCCTGGTGATAACTTGGGTCTGTCCACCCTGGCTGCAGGTACCAGCAAGTCTGTGTACTCAGTACAGTGAGTTAGATGCCAAAGCCCCTCGTTAAGCACTTCGGTAAGTGAACTGATTTGCAAATGTGCTGAGCACTCAGCAGCTCCTCTTGACTTCTAAGTCCTCTTAACTTTGTCCTTCTCTCAAAATTCCCACCAGTTGTCAGGGAAGAAAACTTAGGAGAAATGTCTTCTTCGAGCTTTTTCTCTCGCTGCCACTCTCCAGAGCATATAACTCTGGCATTCATGTATCTCCCACTTGCCATGCTTTCCTTGTAGCATCCTATTTTTAATATAAAGCCAATGTGTTAGCCAGTGTAAGCCTTTCCAAAAGAGGAAATAAAACAGGAAAATCCTTATACAAACTCTGTGTTCTGATTCAAAACCACAGATTCTCTGCTAGGTTTGTGCCAGTCAGATTCCAGCCCCAGAAGGACTTCAACTACGTGCTCAGAGCCAGTACACAAACAAATATTTCTATCATCAAGGAGAACCATTTTGATCACTCTTGATGCTAAAGAGATTGGTTGCACACCCTAAGATTTTAAAGGGGCCCACAGCTGAGTGGTCCACCTGGAGCACTGATGATTGCTGAACGTCAAGTTATCCCACTCTAGTTGGACAAAAGATCATAGAATGATCTGAGTTGGAAGAGACCTTAAAGATCATACAGTTCCAACCCCCTGCCATGAGCAGGGACACCTTCCACTAGACCGGGTTGCTCCAACCAGGCCTTGAACACTTCCAGGGATGGGGCAGCCACAGCTTCTCTAGGCAACCCGTGCCAGAGCCTCGCCACCCTCACAGGGAAGAATTTCTCAGATCTCCAAAGGACCAGTACCTATAGCCCTGGCTTAGCAGTAATGCCTCTGCAAGACGCTGTCCATACTCTCTCCTTGGACTATCTGGATTATGTCATAGCAAAATACAATCGATGTACCTTTGATCAATGGAACAGGGTGGTGACAGGTACTCTCAATTCACTGTTGTTAGTGAGTATTGACAAGCCTGTAATGATCATGCTGCTGTGTGTCATTCATGCTGGGGGCATTAGCATTCTTTAAAGGTCAAAAAACAAATCCTTCTAGAAGGCAGAGTTCCATACAGTTAATGGAAAACGTGGGCCTGGCGAAGTCAAGATGTGTGAGATTATCAGGGCCGAAGTTGGTACAATTGTTGGTATTATTAATGACTTCAGCAATTTGCAGGTGTACAAACCACAGAATCACAGAACATCCTGAGTTGGAAGGGACCCACATGAATCATCAAATTCCAACTCCTGAACTTGCACTGGACAACCCCAAAAATCACACACAAAGACATGTACGCATGACGTGGATGAACACAGTGTGGAAAAAACAGCATAAGAAAATTTCCAGGCTTATGTGCAGAGATCAGATCATTTCTAGAGGTCTGGTCAGAGTCCTTGGATCCTCCAAAGGAGCCATGGGAAGCTGATTTCTGTAGGTATTTATCTGCACTCTGATATGGAGTCTGTCCATTTTCAGCTGAGTACCAGATGAATTTGTACAGGCAAGTTTGCAGAATCAATTTTTTTTTAACTTAGTTTAAAATTCTGCTATTTTGTTTTCGCCCATTAAAAGATGTGGCACATAAATGCTGTCCACTAGCAAGAACAGGGGAGAAGTGAGTCTCAATTTTCAAGATGCTGTTTCTGAATTGGGAAAGGGGCACGATAAGAATAAAAGAAAAAACACTGGCATTGCAGAAACCACATAAACTGGCCACAAAATGATACTTACTTTGTGAGACTCTTACTAGCTCAGTCACACTGAAAACACCTGATGTGACAAAACTGTCCTGGAAGCCCAAATGTCCTACAAAACAAACAGAGTGAGAGAACTGCGATTAGCTTTAAGCATTTAATGACAGTATTCTCAAATACTTTACTTTCATTTAGACTTAAGATGTGACATCTAATTTCCCACTTAGCAGTAATTATTGTTTATGTAGGTGGGTAACTAGTCATACAGCTATGTAGGCTGCTTTGTGGTTTCTATCTAGAGGTTAGGAAAGCTAACATGACACATCAGCAGGGAGATTTTTACATGTTAAAGCATCTCAACAGGAAATCTGAAACAAAAGAGGACTATTTTAATAAACGGTTACCTTGGATGACCCCTAATGACTTCACAATTGAAATGAAAATACTGTACCTAGGAAACAGACAGGACAGCTAAGTTCCATAATCGTTTTAAACATTATTCTCTAAAGAAACATCTGATCAGGATTATCTACCCATTCATTCAAACAAAACAAGATTTAAAGATGTACTCTTCATTTTTCTAAGGTTACACTAGGGAAATCTTAAAATAGCAGATGGTTAAAAAAATTTAAATGAAGGCCTTTTGCACCAAAAAAATATTCTACCATTTCAAATTAGGCTTTGAAAAGAAAAATAAACCTCTATGTAAGAAAACTGTTAACTTTGAGCTGTGGACTGTCTGTAGGAATCAGGGCGGACACATCCACACTCATCTCCCTTGTGCAAGGAATGCCTCTACACTTGGTATCAAAATGTTATTGCACTTTACATAACAGTATTTTCCTTCTTCTCTGCAAACATGCCTACCACCAAATGTTCATTTAATTTTCACGGGTATGATCAGTGACAAAAGGAGCAGTGCTGGGGCTGCAGCCCAGAGTGAGCGCGAGGGGTGGGGTACAGCGTCTCACGCAGGACAGAGCTGGACTTCAATTAGAGGGAGGTCTGCAGTTGGTCGGCCAGGCTGACCTCCTGCTTTTGAAATCAGGGTCAAAGGAGAAATCGCAGGATAAAGAGATTATTAAAAGAACTGTAAAGTCCTACTTGCCCACAGGATAAGTGCCATACCTTTTTAGGTTGCCCTACTTAGAGTCACTGATTCCAGCGCACGCACACATATATTATTGAATGTTTTGCAGGGACACCATCTGCTCCGTCGTTAATTGTTTGTCAGGCTCAGTACGATTTCCCTACATTCCATATATTCTACTGTACCCCATGCTCATCCCAGGAATACCTGTTCACCTTTGTCTAAGGACCAGAGCAATAGGACTAATGCAAGCTGCATATTTGATTCCCTGGTTTTCTTTTGGGGTTGTTTAAAAAAACCAACATATACAACATGTACCATTGACATTTCTACCTGGAGAATAGGATGCAAAAGAAATACATCCTGTGTGCAGGACTACAGAGTAGTCAGGGCATATTGTCAGGGAACATGTCAAGGAAAGGTTTGGGAGAGATCTGGAGGGAGGAAAGCCATTCATCTCCAGCCAAGATCTCATGGAATTCTGCTCCTACACAGAAGAAGTTCCCTGTTTCTGTGAGGAGCCCACGGTGCCAGATGAACGCAGTCGCTAAGCTAACAGACTCCAGACAAGTTTCTACATCAGGCATCTTTTTATACTTCAGCAATAATGATGAGTTTTCAAACTGTGTATATGTATATCTTTGGGCATCCTTGTGTATGTGTGTATACATATGTATTATGTACACAAACATATAAATATACACAAATCTGTCATGCTCCAGCTGTAGATAAATGTACTATAAAATATTGAAATTGATGCTGAAATTCAACACAAACAAATTCCTCAATCTGCAAACAAGGTTTTTATTTACATCAAGAGAATAAATTTTTCTCTACTTCAAATGAATAAATATTCTTACGAGCTTTTATTTTTCCTTATTTTCAATTTAGAAATGGCTTTCAGAGAGCTGTGAATGCTTTTGCCTGATCTGCTTTGTATTTTCCCATAATAAAGGTGATGACTACCTCATTCTGCTTTTTAGAAACAGTTGCTGGCCATACACGTTTGTTCATCGACAATTTCCCAAGTATTTTTAATATGAAGATCTACTTTTCATATGCTGCAGCAGACTTGCCTATTGAATTAAATGATCTGTGAATTAAAAATAATTCTCTTAGGTCTTCACTGAAACCACTCATGTGCCTAAAATTAAGCATATGCTTAAGTGCCTTGCTGGATCAGGGCCAGGATGCTTACTACTCCGCAGAGCCCTTCGGAGGGAAGCCAGTCTATGCTATATAACTTCTCACACTGTGCTCATCATGGCAGTATCTGAGCAACTTCCAGAAGTGCATCCAGCAATGCCACGAACATCTGTCACGTGTTGTTTTTTCACAGTGCACCATCCTGGCTCTGCTCTGGTGTCCACTCCCACCTGCATTTCTCAGGCAGGTTCCTAGCTCACGAAGAGTGAAGGTGAAATTTAAATATGGGAGGAAAAAAACTCCAAATCATAGCCACTGTAGCACATTTGGCCGATTTTTTAAATTAGTCTAGAGCCTTTGTAATTATCCAATAAAAATGTGATTGTCACACAGCTAACAGTGTTACCTTAACTTGGCAAACACAGGTAAAACCAAAAATAAAAATGTCATTTTAAATATATTCTAACTCTCAGGGCATGAGAGAAATTGAATAAGTTATCTTGGGCCTGCTGACCTCATTATTCCTATTTTGGGTATACTTGAAATGTCTGCATAGTTCTGCAGGAACATTCCTCATGGTTGTACATGTAATAGTAATCATTAAACAACAGCATGCAACGGGTGTGATTAGATTTTCACCCTTCAATACTGCAAATAAACATTTCACAAATGAAAGGTGAATTGCACAATTCTGCAATTTGCTATTTACTTATAAACATTAGGAAATCAGGGGCTCCTCTTGCCAATCATTAATATCTTGATACCCATAAAAGCAATACTTAGAGCTGTATCAGGAATTAATTTTAATACACTGTTAGTGTGTGAATTTACAGTTCACTAGAACCCCACGGAGGTTTAAAGATTTGCCTGGATGGCTCAGATTGCAAAATCTAGGCCTAAGACTGTTGCTTTTGCTGAGCTTTTGCAACAAGAAAATGAGAGAAACAGGACAAAGAGGCTAGAAATGTAAACGAAGAATGACTGGGAAATAGCAGGATTGACAAAATACAATACGTGAAGAAAACTTTAACAGGGGTCAAAATGCAAAGATACATCAATTTGGCCATTCCACTTAATTCTGAATGAGAAAAAAAATGGTAAAGTCAAGCAATTACATATGCAGATGTTAGCATTAACGAGCTCCTGTACTGAAAAGATGATTAAACATCTTGAAAGCTCATAAGATTTACTTTTCATACGGCACTTTACTGAAATATGTTCCCTCAATAGTTTTGCTCAATATCCCAAAGACAGGACATTGAAACTGCTGTATATGACAGGTTATCTCTGCAGCTTTGTGCGACCCTCACAGTTTGGTGGTGAACCAGGTGTTCAAAATTAACCTCATAGAGCTCATTCACTGAAATTCTGGGTACAGATTAAGACACCAGGCTGGCCAAGGCAGGCCCTGACTCAGCAAAGCCGCTGCAGCACATACTTCAATTTCCTCACACGCCTGACTAAAGCACATGGTTATTGCCCTGCCAAATAAAGGTGGGCTGACAACACTGAGGAGGAATTACAATATGCTGTTGAATCATTCCTTCAATGCAAGTCTAGGTGCAGTAGCACTTTGCTCATTACCTAAGATCTCACTTCAGCTCATGAGGATGATCATATTCCCCCTAAGGGGGAAAAATCCCAGGTTAATAAGATCAAATTCAATAAAGCAGATCAGGATAGTGACTAACAAATCATATGCCATTACCCAATCACACTTTTGTTATATTGTACAAATGTGGTACAACATTATCATAACAGGTACCACATGGAAAACATCCTTCCATAGCTTGATGACTGCTTTAATTGGGGAGAAAATTCATAATGCGATTTACATATTCTTCTTTTGGATCCCAGGAGAGAAGCCAGAAGAAAAGGCTTGAATTGTTGGAGTTTAATTCTGATCTCAAAGAAGTTTTAAACAAGTCTTTCTACACTGATCAAACAGAGTTTCACCTCATTTTCTCCTAATTTACACTGGCGGAGGAGAAATCAGGATTAGGCTTGTTGTCTAGTGCTATTTGTTTTGAATTATTAAGCAAACATTCCTATTTCAATGAGTAAACGTGTACAAAGGCAACTAACCTTCGTCCTAAAATCGAGTTTACAGGGGGAGTATTGTCTGCTTTCCCAATTAATGCTGTAAAAAGGAGTCTCAGACGTTGAGCTACCAATCAAGAGCTTGTGTTGTAGCTTGAGAAAATCATGACTGATGCAATTACTTTTATGTAGAAAGTCTGAATATGGTCTATAGGTTAAAGTTCATTGGGTTATTGTTCCTTAATTGAATATCAGAAGATGTTTTCAAGGTGCTTGAGGTATTATTGTTATTTAATTAGCAGGCTTCCTTGTGTAATCCAACAGTATTATTTTTCCTCTAAAATAGTTAGATTGCACCACAAATACACAAGGTATTTTCTAAACAGAGATACAGCTGGTTTCCTGAAATCCAAGCTTAAATAAAACTGGAAGAGAGTTACTTCTTTGAAGATGACGAAGTCCAAATCTAGTTATTTCTCTTCCACTACAGTCTGAGTGGCAATGTATTAAGATTTGAAGAACAGCTTTTTGTGAGACTTTGATTCCTTTTCAGTGTTTTAAATTACACAAGTCCCCCAAACTAGCACTGAACCCATTTCTAAAGCCTTTTTCATGTTCAGCATCTCACTATACATAGCCATCTTAAAACCTTAAAATAGTAATAATCAATTAGGGTCTCAAGCCTATTATCTTAACCAAATGCCTGATTAAAAGAAAAGCCCTCTCTGCTCGAAGTGCAACTTGATTCCTTTTGGTTTTATCCTCTATCTAGATAATCCCATGTTTCACAAACAATGCTGAGCAATAATGTTGATGAGAAAATTAATGTCTGTATC